ATAGTAAAGGCATATTGTAGGTAGAATGTTTGTAGGTTGGCTAAATAACCAACATGTAGGCTTATCAGAATTATTTTTATTTATATATATATATATATATTAAAAAGCAGGTTTTGCTTTATTTATAATTCCAATTGCCCCCAAATTTCATAACTTTATTCATTATTCATGTTAACCATCCTTAAGCACTTTTAAAACTGAAATAAATTAGCTTCATGTGAATTATATATATATTTTTTAGTTTTAATATAGCTAGTTACTAGTTTATTAATAAAGTATGAACATTTAACAATTTCTAAATATTTTCATGATTATTTTGTTACCTGGAATACACCTAGAAAATGTTATAATGTTTGACATCTTATTTCAAAATTGCTTGTTTAAATGGTTTCACTAGCTTTACTGAGAAATATGTGTCATATGAGTTGAGTGAAATACTTTGAAACTGATACCTGATATACTTTATAGATCTGACTGTTAAATCACAGGGTTAATTATACATGCTTCATCTGATGTATGAAAATATTCATTAATATTACTGGACATTAAAATGCAACATCCATATACATCGGAAGGATATACTGAAAGATTAATTTGAATATGGTAGTTATGACAGAAACACAAACAACATGAGTAAAGAAAAAGTAGAGAACAGCAGAAAATGCAGATCAACTTGCCCAGTTAAGCCCAATATAACAGACCTAACAAAGTTCTGTGTCATAAAGACAAACACACTGCAATTAACATGCTGCATTAACAAATCACATGACAGATCCTGATCCTTATAAGCATCCTGATTTGGGATGAGGCCTTACCCTGTATCTGGCCACCCATGGACACAGACAACAGAAAGATGCTGGGAATGAGCAGTATATCCTAAGAAACTATGGAAGTGCTTTGTTCCAAGACTGGAAAGCAAGTCACTTTAACTATATCAGTTTCTTAACACTATAGGACATACTGCACATTACAGACAACCTTCCCATAGGAAAATGAGCGCCGTACCAACCGGAGTTGCTCGCCACTAGATCCAGTCTCTGAAAAAACAGAAAATGCTTATCACACCCCAAAACTTGGCTTACAGTTTTTATAGTATTTCCCATATTCTCCCACCAAAGGATTATTGATTCAAATGCAGAGCTCAGATGACTGCACAGTCGTCCCCACCTACTTCAGCTTTCAGGAGTAAACTTCCTCCCTCAGCCCTGAATATCTGACACAACTGACTTCAGTCTCATCAAATTGGGTCAAAAGAAAACATATGACTGACCCACATTAGAAGAAAAGAGGAATAATACGAAAAATGTCATCTTTTGTATTCTTCTCCATCTCTTTACAAATGGACTAAGGACTACGGGAATAGTAATTACAGGGAATAATGAACAGCAAAATTATAATTAGAGACCAACTATGCAGTGTATTTGATATTCTATTAACTTCAACAATCATGAATTCATAGTGAAACAAAAGTGTCAGAAATATCTACCAGTGTATTTAGGCCCTACTGCTTGCAGAACAAAAGTCTGCTTATATTTCATGTTCTATACTTTTGCTTAATTTTAATTATTTCAAAGGTGAAGCTACCAGAGAAGTGGAAGCTGTCCACTGCCTTATAGATTATTCTCTATAAGGCAGGGAAATCATTTTGAAGAATTTTGAGAAAACCACAGGTCCTTCTCACCTTCCTTCATGTTAGTGTGATTGCAAATCTGGATCAAATGAAAATATTTTTCTTGAAGTAAGAAGGAGCTCGATAAAGGACTTTATCTTTCTACTGTCCAGATCCTCATTTTTGAAAGGAGAAATGGAGAGAAGAGGGAAAAAGAACTCCATCCCCAAAATGCCGCTAAGAGGAAAAGGTTTACCTGATTGTCTTTAAACCATCCGTGGGAACCAATAACCCTTTCTGAGATAACAGAAAGTTATCTCAGTCACAGAGTGGAGCCAAGCCTCCCTGATTCCTCTCTGCCCTTGAACTCAGAGGCTGGACACCGCATCTCAGCACCTGGACTGGAAGCGGAGCCTGCCGGGGTAAAGAAAGTCTGTGCGATGGTGCAAGAGGACACTGCACTCAGTCCAAATTCCAAGTTATGAGAAATAAGCCCATCTGTAACATGAACTACTGCCAGCTCCTTTCACAGAATGGTTATGTGGAAAATATCACACTAAGTGAGATAATTGTTTGTTATTTCCATGTCTTTACACTGAGAATTCATCCAGATACTTCAGTGGTAAAAGCTGTTACAAGCAAATATGAACTCTATTTTATCTGTGATCTCTGATATACTCAGAGCTACCAGGACAAAGAAAATGTTTCTGTACCCTGAGTTGGAACATCACTCCTTTGTTGTGTCCAGATACTACCACAAGAACAGTTTTCGTGAGCAAAATAGTTGCTTCTTTTAAGGATCAGAGAGTTTATGTCCTGGGCTATAAACAATGACTTAAATTACAAGTGAGTTGACAAGAGCATCTATTTAACATTTAATGAGTTAAATAAAGCAACAAAGAAGCATTCTATTAATTGATGTCATTATCAGAGTTGTCCAGTACTGTCATGAATTTGCAGCTAAATAGCTTTTATCTCATTTAGTGCATTTCTAATTGTTTTAACAATGTAGGACACCAGCCCTTTGGTACAATGATTAGAAGGTCACCAGGAAAACAACAGATAATCTTAATACTGCTACAGCCCACTGACAGAGTGATACTCTGCTGTTGTTAACATATATTCATATATCGGGACAGCCAAAAGGCCTCAATTATGTTCCAGACCCCATTGTGCTGGACACTGGGGAAACACAAAAGGAAACAATGTCCAAGCCCTAGAGGGCTTGTAGAATAAAAAGATGGGTGATGCAATGAAGAGAAAGGCAATGGGATGCATTCAGCCATACAGACTTACTTTTTATGATTTATACCTATTTTTTATCTTTTTATACTGCCAAGAGAGAATAATAATACTGACCTGCTCCCTTAAATCTACCCTGTTCTGTTTGAGTATTATTTCCAATGTTAATCAAGACCCGATTCACTTTTTTTTTTTTAAACAATTTCAATCCATTTACATTTCTCTGACTTTTACAAACAAGCATACAATTAGAAAAATGAAATGAAATAAATGAAATGAAATGAAATGGAAAACTAAACCCAAACTATTAATTTGAACATAAACAATATGAGAAACACAGTGAGAATTTAGTTATTTTAATTCCTGCCCTTGACAGTTGTTGGACATATTTTCATACAGACACAGATAATGTCCTCTAATTCCACTTCAAGAGTCTATTCCCATCAGTTAAACATTGTCTAAAAGTCCCTATGGAGGTGTTCGTTTAAAGCCTGATGCTGGCACAGTTTTTTGCTCTTTTCTAGCCATCTGGTCACAAACTGAGTTGTCAGCTATTTTATCAAAGCCTGTGAGGAAGATCAAAGGAGTAAACAAAAACATCAACAAAGAAATCTCAAGGTCCAAAGTAATTACAACAATTGACTCTAAAGTAATAATTTATTGTCCCTCACAGAATTCAGACAAAAGAGACTTAATATAACAAATCTGAAAAGGCTGTAACCTTAGGCTATTCTGAAACCCCTGTCCCTCCCCAGTCCATAAGAACAGCTGTAAACATACTCTTAGCACCCTTATTATCCCCTGTTTTCACACTCCACTCTCCCAGCAATTAATAGAAAATACACCGATCCACTTCTTTACATTTAAAGCTTAGAATCCCAGATGCTGGCATTCAGAATTATTTTGCATGCCATTCAATAATACCTTTTAAGATCAATTTTTAAATGTGTATGCCTCGGTCCTACGCTTTTTCTGCGTACTGGTTTAAACAACAGAATGTGAAAGCTGACTGTATCATTAAAGCACCCATATGAGAAAACTCCTTACAGTTTCTATACAAATAGACAAGAGTCCCACTACATTAAAATGAAACCAAATTGTCTCAGCAAACCTCTTTTTTCCTCATGGTCTTCTCTCTTCTCTGTGCAACGTTGTTCCATCTTACACATACACTTAGATGTGCCATAAGTGCTCCGTTTTAAAGTGCAAAAAAGCTATCCACAGCTCCCCTAAGAATGAAACTGTTTTAATATTTTCTGATCCATGTTCCTGCCACAAACATTCACCGGCAGTATGATAGCTCCAAGAGCAGACATCTGATTCTTGACATTTAAAGATACAATACTGGTGAAAAATAGTGACGCTGTATTAACTGCAAACAGCTTGTGAGGGAGTAGGTGATGTACTCCTAAAATGTATAATCAGAACAAGCAATAATTTCAACCTTTTGCTTTTATATTTTTGACTCAAAGCCATGAGAAAGAGGAATAGCCAGATAAACAAATCTGGACACTTTACAATAAGTATTTTATGAGAATTTATATGCTATGACAAAAAGGAAAGTAGATTGTTTTCCAACAGGATAAAGTATTAAGGTACCTCAAAGTTACTCAAAAGGTCTCAGAAGCTTTCATAATAAAATAAGCAGCAAATAAAGGCAAATCCTGAAATTACAGAAATCAAAGAATTTGTATCCTGGTAACATTCATTTAATTGACGTTGTAATGCTAACTACAAGCACTACAACATCACATTCTCTATACCCCTACTGTGACTGCCTTATAAATTCAAAAAGTACACAAAGAGGTCTTATTTTTCCCACATGAAAAAATTAAGCCTGTTCCAACATGAACTGTTTCTTTGAAATATTGAATGCTGACAAAGAAAGAAAAGAGAAGAAAAAATAAAAAGAAAAAAAGAAAAAAGAAAAAAGAAAAGAGAAAAAAAAAGAAGAAAATGAAATCAGAAAAAAACCACAAAAAAACAAAAAAACACAACAGATTTATTTTTAATTTCAGCTGCATGGCCCCTTGTTTAGTGATTAGAAATCTCTCAGGAAAGATGAAATATCAGAGCAAACCTCCATCCCTCACAAACACCTGTGACATGGCAGAGCACAGTTAATAGAAATCAGTTCTCCACACTGTACCTGGAGGTACTGACATGACCGTTCCTGTTGACACGTCTCTGACTTCACCACTGTCTGGTCCATGTTAACTGATGCTTTCTGGTAAACTTCACGGGCTCTGCTCACGGTTAATGTAGAGGACCAAGAGCTTTTCTTCATTAACTGGGAGTCCAAATTCACAGGCAGGTTTGCACAGGTAGAGCACTTGACATCATTATTGCTTCTGGATGACTTCACAGTATGTTCACTAATAGTGTTATAGGCTTCCATAAAGTATTGGGAAGAAGAACGATCAGGACATCTTCCCATGGTCATGACCCCACTGGGACCATGATAAATGCAAACATCATTGTCCAAGTTGTCATCTGAACTCCACCATCCTGATGCATTGGATCTGGGCTTACCTTCTGATCGCCTTTCTTTACTCTTGCTGCGCTTCCCATACCTCATTGTCTGTGACTCCTCTGGGCTTGCTTTACTCCCATTGACACTCCCCTTGGATGGTCCCTCCAGTGAATGGGACTTGGTAAAGAGCTTTTGGACAGAATGAACCAGGTGTCGGATCCTCCCTGGGCTGTCGCTGCGGTGCTCCATGGCAGTCCGCTTGTACTGCAGAGTATGGTAGCCATCCCGATTCAGGGGCAGCTGCCGCTCAAACTGGTCCAAGAGGTTGGCAGGAATGCGATTAGTCTTGTTGGCAGTTCCATGGGGAACCAGAGCACACTCGTCCTTAAGTTCATGGTGCGAGTTGTAATGTCTCCGAGGAAACGTGCTGCTGGCAATCTGATCATTGTACGGCACCATACACTCTGCCTGAAAAGAGTTCCTTTGAGTGTAGTAAGGGTGGTCTGCAGGATGAGGGTCCACTGGGTTTAACAAATATGGCTTCCTGTCCGGGTGATGTGGCAGACTGTCACACGGAGGGTCACAGGTAACCCCATGATGATGACTACGGCTGCTAGATAATCCCTTCATCGTTGATGCAAAGCAAGTCCCAAAGTCATCTAATACGTATGGCTATGCAACGGGCAGGTCTCAGAGAAAGGCCTACAAAAAATGAAATACAGCAGAAGCCATGAGATATTCAAGCTATGAGAGAAAACAACATGTGCACTTTTAGCATTCATTCTTCTTATTATAAAAATAATTGGAATAGACCTTCTCGAATTCTTTTTCTCACATAATCTTTCCCATGCCAGTAGTGATACGGGATGCCTAAATAACATACAAACAAAATGATTTTGTTTTCACCAGCTAGAACACAGATGCAAGAACATTTTCTGATATTGAACTTGCCATTGCTTGCTAATCCACAGCAAGATAAGTATCACTGCCTGTACTCTAAAACCTCAGTCCTGAAAACATGCATGGGCAAGGGCCTTCTAGGAGGCCTTAATTGATCATCTGTATGCTTTCATGACCAAATAAGTGCATTAAGAGATTACATCCCTAATGGAGTATTTTGGGATTACTTTGGGCCAAATGAAAGACATGGTGCAATTACAGGAAAACTTTTCTCTGGCTTCAGTGCATATCTGTTCATGATTCAAGTGCAGTTTTACTTTATCTGTGTTGCCTGCCGGACTGTGTCTTGAGACAGTGCCAAACATGATTTCCGTAAGTTCTTTTCAAATTAATAATAAAACAACAATACATTTCACTATCAGAATGAAACCAGACCAGCTGTTTAATATTGGGTTCATTTGGGGTTGTATCTAATGTTTACTTACCCCTAAATGTAAAGAAAAAAAAGTCTTCCTCTCATAATGCATGGCTTGACTTAATTTTCCATAATTTTACAGAGCACTAAGCAGTGTTTAAGTATCCCTTCTCCCTATGCCATCAAGGGAATTGATATAGATAACACTCGTACATTGCTTTAACAGTGTAAGGGATTTCAACACTTAATATCCACTTGCAGTTATTTGGCCCTGAAGTTACTCACAGTGTTATAGACTGTTGTTTACTGCTAGTTGAAAAAGAAAATCTTCATCACATGTGATATAATAATCACATGGTTTGAAGCCAGATAGCCTCATTTCAGCTCTGCCACCAGCAAAAGGCCAGACACAACTGTTGCTGCAATCTCTGAGCTATTAATGCATATATTACAGGGTTTCAGGAGTGCTAAAACTTTCTTATGGTACCACCTCAGCTCCTGGTGGGCAGATGGGAGACTTTAGAGTATGCCCTGTTGTACTGCACACAACTGGAATGAGCGTCACTCAGCTACTTTATTCCCTTCCAGAATGGCTAATCAAGTGTTACTACCAGAAATGTCAACCCTGAGATCTTTCCTAGAGTATTAATAGATATTGCAAAAAGCTTTCCCCTACTTTCTTTCAGTGTTCTCTCAGATACAGTTCATGTTTTAACAGGTTGTAGACATTTTACCTACTGGTAAATTGGCAACAATTAAGTTTTCTAAAATAGCTTAAGCTGATGTCAGTCTGGAGAAGCCTACTTTGCATTTCATCAGAACATATTTCATATTTTCTCCTGAATCTGTGGTAAGCTTTTTCAATATGTTTCAAAGTTAGAGTGGATGTCCTTCATTTCACTCCCCCTCACTGGATTCCTAAAATACAGAAAATGTTCATTCTCAGGAGACCCTGAATTTGAAAACCAGTTTTCAAAATACCACAAAAGGCACTTGAAATACTCCAAATGCATGAGTTCACTGGCTTACTTGAAGAGGACTAAGGTGTCATGGTCTGAGGCACTTATAAAGAACAAAAACTGTGTATCCAGAGAGCTAGCCTTGTCAATTATACTGAAGTGACAGTACTATAGTATATAATCTACCAGTTCTAAAGAGTTTTTATATCCCTAACAAAACTCCTTTAAAAATACAATCTATTAGAATGTGTAACAGACAACATCCAAGGGGATGTAGTAGTAAATCCATTACTTGAATCATTGAAAATATGGCTTGATCAAGAATATCCACTCAAGAACAATACCACCAAAGGATATAAAGACCAAATCAAAATCCTCCAATCTCTGTTATCTATGAATAGATATCTATCATACTTGAATGCTTGTGAGAGCAAGGCTTCAGCCAATTAATTTTTATTTCATTCCACTAACAATCATGAAAGTGCCCTCCAGATGATTAATCTTGATTATCTTAAGGCTAACAATAGATGAGTATGCCATATAAGACAAAAATAGTAGAAACTTGCCCCAAAGACATGAGAAAGACACAGAGGTACAGTAAAGTGTGTCATCCCCAGAACCAGTGATATATTTTCCTTTTTTATTTTTTTATTTATTTATTTTTTTGTTATCTGTACGGCTATGAATTTTTCACTTTTTTTATGCTGTGGAAAGTCATAGACTGAGGCCTACCAAAGGATCAATAATTTACAGAATAGTGAAGTCATGACAGGTACAGAGAATGTAATTGAATAATTAAGAACATGTAGTCTTAATATATTGATGAAGCAGAATGGCTGGGCTGAGGAAACACAAGAAACAACCTGATTTATAGGCTGGGACAGAACAGCTTGGAACATCTTGAAGGCAAAATGAGTTTAAAACCTGTGGGTATGGTTTGACTGATGAGGCCAGCAATGTTACAAGAGGTATTTTGGATGGACTGGCAATATGGATGCTAAGGAGAATGGGCAAGAAGTCTTAAAAAGTGAAAAAGTTTATGAAAAGTAACATGTATCTCTTATAGAGAAAAAGAATGGGCTTTCCATAAATCGTGGAGGTAGATATAACAAACTTGGCTAAACACTGCTATATGAGCTTGCATGACATGTAGGATGGTGGAAATGTTTAAGAGAAAAGATAACATTTAGTTCTACACCCATTTTGAATCTGAGCTGTCAATGAATCTTCCATGAGGAAGTGCTGGAGAAAAAAGCAGAAAATAGATAGGATGATCTACCCAAAAGGAATGAGAGGAACAAACACAGGGAAAAACAGAGAAGATATGCTTGTGAAAGCATATCACAGAGTTACAACAACAAAAAAATAAAATAAAAAAAAATTGAAGGTGGATAAAGCTTTGCAGGAACAGCAGATTGAAAAAAGGAGTAAAAAAAAGAAGTAGCATAGAGTGACGGACAAACGAAACACAAAAGAAATGGCAACCACCAACCTGTGTTACAAGAAGGGGTGATGGTAAAGGTTTCAAAACCTGGGAAAAATTGTAATTCAGAGTAAAAAACATTTATTCCCAACTCTTATACTGGTGTATGTGTAAGAGTTTTTCTGCTACAACCACATGGAAAACCTTTATTGAGGTATAGACCCTGAATTTACCCTGTGCCATTTATGTTAAAAGACCACGAGAATTAACTAGATTGTAGACTTGCTTTACTTCAGTTACAGTATTGAAAGTGGAATGAATTAGAAACAAACAAAAATGTCCCAAGGTGCACCTTCCAGTAAGGAAAGAACAAGTACGATGTGCTCTGCAGTGAAGGAATAAGTGGTGCTTCTCTTAAATACTGTAGTGGGTAATTCTTCTTCATGGAAAAAAATAAAAATAACAGTACCTAAATCATCCTCACACCTCAGCCCCACTATAATGTGTTAATATGTTCAAACATTTCTAGAATAAATAAACTTTACTGTCTCATCTAGTTCCATCAGTATTTTTCAAAAAACATGCATCATTTTCTATAATTGTGTTGGCTGAACCTATCAACAAATGTTTAGTTCAATTAACAGCTGGAGACAGGGCTATCTTATCATGTCACGAATAGCTGAAAGGAAGCAAATTTAGACTTTTATTGTATTATTATTTTTTGGCCAAACTAGGAACATTTAATTACTCATGAAAGAAGGGAAGATAATTGACGAACATATTGCATATTAATAAACAATAGAAATAGCAATTCCATGGACAGCAGACTAAAAACACTTGATAGCATGGAGTAAATGAGATGTTAAATAGATACAGGATTGCGAGGTTGAAGAATGCTTATTACTTTCAGCATTCACATTCTGTTTGCTTTTGTTTTCTTGAGGATGCCCCAGGTAAGAAGGATACAAATGTATTCATCCTTGCTGCTGATATGGTGTCCCTAAAGCACAACAATTTGTTGGAATCACTTAGTGGCCAGAACAATGCATAATTAATTATAATCTGAAAATTAAAGTAGAAATGCATACAAAATAACAAAACCTGAACGCATAAAGTACATAAACTTTCACAAATTTTATTTAACTAATCTGTATTGCTTACTTGTGTGTTCCAAATTTATTCATAAAACATGTCTTCAAGAAACATATTCTTTCCTTTAGAAATATGTGAAATCCTTTCTCTAATAAAGGATTTGCTGATATGTTACATAGCCCCTCCAATTTTATTGCACAAGACTGAAGAATATGTTTCTTACATTGTCACAGAAAGCTGTGAAAAGCAGTGAGGTAGCAAATGATTTCACTAAAAACATGCATATATAGGTATATAGAAAGTAAGCAGATAAAACAGGATAATGTAGCAGGTAGTACAAAATGAATAATTAATAACTCAAAATGACTACTATAATCAAAACCGGTGTGTGGTCATTAGTGACTTATAAATCTTCATAATTAGAAATTTCTTTGATAGGATCAATACTGAAGAGTCAACACTGAATTTTATTTCAAAAATCTGAATATGTTGTGGCAGTTCAAGATTCAGAGCAATGCAAACTGCAATATGCAAAATATGACATGATGCAAAGTATAAGGTCAATAACTACTAAGACAATTGTCAGAATAGCAATGATATGTATGTCAGTGTGTGTAGCTTAATTAGAAAAACAAATGAGATATAACAATATACAGAAGGTGGTCAATGTAACTATATTATGTGCAACTATGCCAACAGAGAAGTCCTAGTTAAATACCATCAGGACCATAGCAGCTTAAGCTTAATATTGTGCTTGTTCAGAAACTAAGGAGTGAGAGATGTTGGATATTTTTTGTTCAGTGAATACAGTTCTAAGATACCTTTCAGTGAGTTAGATGACACTTCTGAATCCTCAACTTTGTGCCAGGTTCAGAAAGCAAAGGGCTGATGCACAGCAAGAAGGCAATATAAA